CCACCAAGACTCTAGTTACGTACTTCTGTGCAATGACCACTTTTTCTAGATTTGTGGTACTAGCAAAATTGCAGAACAAGTCCGCCGAATCAGTGGCTCATGCATTAGTCACTCATCTAATCTGTCCTTTCTCTACACCTAGGGTGATACTCTCGGATTACGGCGCAGAATTTAAGAATCAACTTTTAGCTGCTATATGTCAACAATATGACATTACACAAACCTTCACAACCCCCTACCATCCATCTTCAAGTGGGTTGGTCGAGCTTGCGAATAAAAAAATTCTTGAGATGCTCCGACATGTGGTGAATCCAATGCAAAGTTCGTGGGAGGACTGGCTTCCACAGGTTGCATCATCCATCAATGGATCTATAAATAGCTTTACAGGCAAATCGCCATGCTACACAATTAACGATACCGATAAATGCTTGCCATATGATCTACTAACAGGAATTTCACATCCTGTGTACAACATGGATGACTATGCCAAGAAATAAATCAATGTTTTCACGAGCATCCATGGAAAAGTACGAAAACACTTAGCAGCCTCACGTGCTGAAATGATCTGCAAGCAACATAAAAAAAAGCTAAGCCTATAAAATTAGAAATAGAAGACAAAGTAATGATAAAAGCGCCGGAACGCATATCAAAACTCTCACCTAAAAATCACAGGTCCGTAGGTGATTAGAGCGAAAGAACCGGGAAACAAATTCCAAGCAGTTGAGCCAACGTTAAATGTTACAGATATAGTACATGTAGATAGAATGAAAAAAAAGTCAGCAGAGACTTAGTAGGGACTCCTAATATCAGTCAAGTACATCCTACTTCAACTACAACAGTTGCTCAACAAAATATAACGATAGACAATACATATCGTTAAAAACTACGATCAGCAACCACAAATCGTTAATCACTACTACTGTTGGTCTGGAACGTGGTGACAACAGCCGCCTCCCCAGCAGACGTCGTCAAAACCGGAGCCTTACTTGCCCCACTAGGCAAAGTATTAGTAGTACAAGACGTTGTAACTATCAAATACGAGCTCCATGACTTAAAGCGCATGCCAGTGCATCTGAGGTAGATAGCTGTCCACATTGAAACAGCTATGGAAACCTTGCAAGATCTCGAACAACAATTAACAGTCTCTACAACAATCCGTCAGACCATCTCTCTTCAACACGACCGTATGAATAGTCCACTCAAACGTGTAAGGCATTTCGAAGGAAAGCACCCTGTATCTCCTGAAGACATCGGGAAAAATGTACATTCTCAGCGGCGTTAAAAACGTGGTCTGTTTAATTTTGTAGGATTAATAAGTAACACCTTGTTTGGTACGGCAACCGCCGAAAATGTATCTAAACTAGGAAATAAAATGAGTGCAGTTTCAGGTGCGGTTAGGAAACAAAATAGGGCCATTGCACAGTCCATCAACTAATTGCCGCGTTGCATATATCTGAAACTAATTATCATCTAACTCCTGTCTTTCAGGAGCATGATGTGGAATATTTTTACCCCTTATTAGAAGCAACATTAACACACAGGGAAATACTAATACACATTCCACTAAATCACCCAAAAAAATTAATGCGTGGCATTTGGAACCATTTCCACTAAAAGCGAATGAGGGAATATTAATTCTGAACAAACAAACTGAACTAATAGTAGTATTAGAGGATTTTTCATTAGTTGCTGTGGCTAAGCATGAAGTACTAAATCATTGTAAGTCAACATATTTGCATTTGCATGTTTGTCTGGCGTATGCTTTGGCATTCACACGGGCTGCTGAGGCTGCATGTGAATTAGCTCTGTTACAAACTGATGCCTCTACAGCTCTACAAAAATGTGTATATACTCCAATACCACATAGGTTAGTGTTTCACGCACATGTCAATAATGTGCAATATTTCTTTTTCCCGAATGAAACCAGTGTGATACTTATATGTCAGGATGTAGGCAAACATTTAGTGGTAGAAGATTATCATATAGCACCAGACTATTGTGAAGTTAGCAGTAATGCAATCACAACCTTGCCTACTCGCCATCATCTTGCATTTGTCACAAATATTACTTCTTAGCTCATTCCCATTCCATTTCCCTTAAATATAAGTTTCAGTAATTTCCATATTGTTTCTGATAAGCTTAACCTCCTGTCTCATATTAATGAGACACAGTTTCCTGACTTACAGGATTCTCTTCCTATATATTTATCTTCCGGGATAATCTTACCTGGTTTTATTATACCTACCATCATATTTATCAGTTCCTTGATTGTTATGATAATTTGTTACAGGAAGGTTTCTTCTAGGTACACAATAGTTTCCAAGAAAACTTTCGGAAGGAATTGCAAAAGCATAAAAACGACGAAAAAGTTTAGCTAAGCACACCTTTTTTTAACAAGGTTAGGTACACCTAGGTTTTAATCCGTGAGGACATCGGCTGTAGGTAGGAGAGTGGTGTAACAGCACCATTTGTATTATATAAATATTTACCCAAATGTATATTACCCATATATTCACCAATTCTTTCACCCATGAGTATGAATCAATTGGTGAGTTGATATTTCCTCGGGGGAGCAGGTGAGGTCAAGCTGGGTCAGGTAGCTCAGCAACAAACAATCTGACGTGTTTCCTTTAAGACCTACTTGACCACCCTCTCTCCCTGGTGTGAGAAAGACACCATCATATCACCTGTTACCCAGTCAACACCTCATTTAAGTGTTCTCCTATAAAATTGCACTAAGACACTTCCCTGAGCAGAGAAGGTACAATATACTCTCAACTGAACTCGGTACCTGTGAAACTACATTTTTCTACAATAAAGCAAAACCAACAAAGTGTTTACTTCAGCCCTGCCACTTATCAATTCAAGAACTAATATATATATATATATATATATATATATATATATATATATATATATATATATATATATATATATATATATACCTGTATATATATATATTCAGAAATTTCGGTGTGATATTTAGAGACGTAAATAACAATAATGGCGATACTGAGTCATCCAAGGTCGACTAAGCGAGGGTGGGGCTGCCCACACGTAGTGGGAGCTTCTGGAACTGGGCCTATATAGTATTAAGTGTACTCTAGCGAATTAATATGGACACGATTCATGAAATTAAATGACATTTATTAAATTTTAAATTATTATAGATCGTTTCTCAGGCTAAATATGTTACGCATGCCCCAATTAAGCTATTAGTTGTGCAGGAAAATATGTCACCAGCTCAAGGCGGACGCCCTGCGTGTAAGGCCAGGACAAAGGGTCACGTCGTCTGGTCTCCTTTGTGTTACGACATTCCAGTATAACAAGTAAGATTCATTCGATCTCAGACAAGGTTTAGACAGAGCGGAGAAGGAGTTAACAGATAGCTAACAGAGGGTTTATTGCAGGGATTCTGTAGAGCCCACGCGGGCTTGAGCCCACGCGGTTGAGTGAGCAGTTTGAGGGTTGGAGAGGAGCCAGCTGTCTGTGTTGACAACTAACTACGTGGGACCAGCGTCCTCCCTCGGTTGACGATCGTTTGGGGTTACCAGATCTCCTCCACCTCAGTTCACAACACCACATATCTTCAGTCAGTTTAGGGATAACCTCTTACTAACGGGAAAATAGAACCCCCCTCAGCTGGGCAGGGTTCATTGGCTGACTGGCCCCCACTCTCTTCCGTTTCATGGATGTACTGAGTGAATGAACGGTCATACACTGAGACCAGGAGTCTAGTGAGTACTTAGAGACATTTTGTCTCCCCAGTATGGGTGTGTTATGAGCTTGTGTGATGCATGTTACAGGAAACAGTGGTAAGGTGTTTAGAATATCCCAAGTCCAGGTGTGAGAACAACTCTCCTCATGGTTGATTTTCACACGTGAGAAGTAAGAAATCATATCCAAAGTTGTGAAGGGCTTGTTAGTAGTGCCTTAAGAAAAATATGGGTGCATGCGGAACCTGTGTGTGAGATTAATGAGCATGTTTCACGGGTATTGGTGGAGAAAAACGTCCATGACTCCTGAGTTCTAGAGAAAATACTGACAAATTTAAAACCAGGGAACACCCGCATGCCTGATGGGTCATGAGTGATTTTCTCGGGTTTCTTGTAAGCGCCGGCCTCCTTGGCAGGCTAGTAGTTACGCCCTTCAGATTATTTGGCCAGTTGGGATTGTAGTAGTTGTGGGTCATTCCAGACAGGCGATGATTGATCCATGTGTGTGGCTAGTAATTTCTTTCTATGTTTTATCCCAGTTCTCAGGGACTGATACTATTTTGTTGAGTACCCTTAAGGCCTATTCATGGTGGAGTTAATAATTTCTTAATGCTTCATGCCATTTCCCCAGTGCTTGATAGTATTGTGTTCTAATGATTATGTGTCACCAAGGGATGTGAGATAACGAGGAACTATTTTCAGATGAGCTCCTCAATCTGGTGTAAGTAGCACTGTTACCTTAGTAGTGTCTCGTAAGGCATTTAATATTTCTACCTATTTTGATATCATGTATAACCTTTGTTCCCCAGTGTAGTGTTTTAAGCCAGGCTAAGAGGTGCGCATATGTTGGTGTTTTATTATTGTTTGTAGCTGTAGTGTTGGATGGAATAGAAGTGTCAAATTTTACAGTGCTTCTCATTCACAGGTGCTATCTTTCCACGGGTCACGGAGAATATTCTTTTAAGTTAATTGTGTTTGTGCTGGTTCGGGTTTTCCTCCAAGGGGCGCTTCCACTGCATTACCATCCACTAATAATAAAAAAACCCAAGTCAAGTGAGTGAATTCCCGACCGTACACACACACACACACACATATATATATATATATATATATATATATATATATATATATATATATATATATATATATATATATATATATATATATATATATATATATATATATATGTGTGTGTGTGTGTGTGTGTGTGTGTGTGTGTGTGTGTGTGTGTGTGTGTGCTTACTAGAACTTTAGGTCAGTTATAGCGATGACAATGATACTTACCATCCTCATCTTAGAGAAGTTAAGAAGGCCCTCATCTGTAAAATTGGGTGTGCCTTCCTCGATGAAGGAAAGGTCGGTAAGGTATATGCCCAGGTAAGGGATGCAGGGCGGGTCACAGCGGTGGAGGGCGTCACGCAGGCTACGGAACCTTCCATCCGATGACACCAGCGCTTGCAGCTTCTCCAGGGTCTGACGTGTCTGTAAGGAACCACTCTATTTATGACTCAAAGTATTTAGCAAAAAAATATATTAAATGTCTGTGATTTGGGGATAACCATTATCAACCAGTGCTGATCGCTGTACTGGCTTGCCTTCACACATCACCACTCATTCTTCACTCACCGTCTTTGAGACTTTCTCCCATGTTTTCTTCAAGCGAAATACAGATGAATTCTGGAAGGCAGCGCACACCTGGGGGATATTCAGTGTTAGTTCATGCACCTCTTGGCTGAGGCAGTGACTTGATCGTGAGTGGAAGTTTATTTATGATAAAGAAAAGGCGATACATCTCTATGAGGTAAATTTTGTAAACAGTGACATGCATTAATATAATAATATACAGTAAAGTAGTTGATAGTAAGTTTAGAGTACGTCATTATTTGAAGTTTCTCTCACTCTTTAGCAAGAGTTATATCATTAATGCCAATACCCTGAACTTGGTTGCAGAATTAAGCCTCGTGTACTAGGGTCATTATTTTTTAGAATGAATTCATGTGTTAAATGTACTTCATGGGTTCAAGTCAATGATGAAAATCCGACGTGTTTTCAAAAGGCCAGGCAATTATTTCTCTGCAATTTTGCGAATATTAGTAAATCTTTCACTCTGATGAACTGAACTAACAGTTTCGTATTGTCAAACTAAAAAAAAAATCGTCAAAAGCCTGGATTACAGATATTGCTTATAATGGACATACGATCATGAAAATAGCAAAGACAACACGACTTTTGGGTTGTATATATCACATCAACTAAACTGAACTATTATGCAGGTTTGTAGAGACACGTTAGATATGAATGAGGGCATTTAGTGTTAATATGCTCACCTGGAGTACGCCATTGAAATTGTGGAGGCAGCGACAGATATCAGCGACGGCGACCCACTTCTCGATGACAGCGGTGCGGGAAGCGAGAGTAGCGCCGCGGATCACTTCAGAGGCCACCAAGCGTGACACCTGCCTCACCATAGTGTGATTAGTGGTTAAAAGAAAAAACAATCTATTTCTCATCTCTAGGCTGCCCGTAGAACCTCAAGTGACTGCATTTTATCGGTCGAAGAAGACCTATTATGTGTATTGAAATATATTAACGTTTAAAGCCAGAAATACTGTATACAAATAAACGACAACTCAGGTAGTTAACTCGCTTGGAGGTGTGTTGAGCATATTCCTAGCACCTCCCAGCCCCATCCCAGCAAAATAACTGCTTAATGATGAGTAACAGCAATTAAATAAATACATAGTGAGGAATGAACATTGGAGACTAACCTCGTTAAAGCGACGGGTGATGAGGAGAATATTGGGGGCTTTAATTTGCTTGTCAGGTTTCATCCAGGCGGTCTTGAGGAACTCCCTGAAGCATGGGGTGGTGGTGAAGCATGGGGTGGTGGTGAAGCATGGGGTGGTGGTGAAGCATGGGGTGGTGGTGAAGCATGGGTTGATGGTGATGAATGGGGTGGTGGTGATGATTCATGAGGTGGTGGTGATGCATGGGGCAGTAGTGATTCACAGGGTGAAGCACAGAGTGATAGTGAAGCGCAGGGTGGTAGTGAAGCACGGGGTGGTAGTGAAGCACGGGGCGGTAGTGATTCACAGGATGATAGTGAAGCATAGGGTGGTAGAGATTCACAGGGTGGTTGTGAAGCACGGGGTGGTAGAGATTCACAGGGTGGTAGTAAAATACGGGGTGGTGGTAAAGCACGGGATGGTAGTGAAGCACGTGGTGGCGGTGAAGCACGGGGTAGAGGAGAGAACGCACACGCTTTAATGACTCCTAAGACTATCCACAACACACACACACACACACACACACACACACACACACATATTATATCATTATGTCTAAATCAAATGCAAGTCTGTATATTTTCAGCCACCGGCTGCAACTCTATTAATAAACCGTTTATTATTATTATTATTATTATTATTATTATTATTACACACACAATGACTTTTTAACACTATCCATACAGCAATTCTCACCAATAAACAAACTATCTTGTGTACCATGAATTATAATTATTAATAATTATTATCATCACCATCTTAATTACATTGCTGTCATCTCCTAAAGCAAAGACATATTATTAAGAGAGGGAATACTTACTCGCTTCTAATAGCCACAAAAATCTGATGGTCAACGTATGTCATTTGTTCTGCAACTTCAAGAGCCGATAGTGTCTCGATGCTCTCCTTACTTGGGGTCTACGAGGGAAAGGATTTTGTAAACAGCCATTGAAAAATAAAGTACATATTTTTATTATATAACCATTAAAAATCTGGGCAATGATTTTGTGTAGTTATTGAAAAAAAGATGGTCGCTTGTAAATATCTACCTATCTATCTATTTATATAAGTGTGTATTGAGAGTACTAACAGAGGAGGGAGCGAGGAGGGTAGCCAGCTCCACCTGTGGGTTGGGAGGTTCTTCCTTGGTGAGGAGCCGCAGCAGCTGTGACGCCGCCTTGTGCTCGGCTGGCAGTAGCGTGGCACAGCATACCATGTCCTCCAGGAACTCTATTGTCATGTTCCTTAACCGCGGGTCACAGTCGAAGTCCTGGTTGGTGAATTATTCACTTTAATATATAGTGCTGTATCAAACTTACATATTATCCTTCATACTAAATAGTAAATTTCACTAAACAAACAATAATTTGAACTATATTTTAAAAATTTTAGTCGTACCTTTAGCACGCCAAATAATTAGTTATTACGAAATAGTATAAGATAAAAGTAAGTCATTATACTTAAGTACTACCTGGGGTACCCGGCGTTTCCCGGGTTTGTTTTCGACGATGTAAAGTTAACATAAACATATCAAATTTATTTCGTTTTCCATCGATATTAGAGTTATTTATCTTGTTTTTTAATGATGTTTGGGTCATATTATGATTTTATAAATACATAGTGTGGTTTGTGTACAATTGGATTAGGTATGGCGTGTTTTTTTTATTGCATTATGTAAGTTGGCACTGCTGCGGATCGGTAGATGGTGATGACAGTGAGGTTGTTTTGAAACCCAACAGAGAGTTTTATCTCATATATTTTTTTTTTAGAATATTGTAAATACTAACCTTGTTACGCACTTAAAGACCTTTGTTTTTGAAGCGCAGTAATAACATTAGTATAACAACATCAACGACAGTGAGGGAAATGCTTTGTTATATATGCACGAGGAGGGGCTGGGGGTGAGTTAGGCAAGTCTAAAATGTAATACCCAGCTGTACACTCATAGGGTCCTCTCAGTGTATATTTCAAGTTTCAGGACTCTAGATTCCGTGGTCTTGGGGGTACGGTACTAGCTGGCTAACTGACTGACTGACTGACATGCACACAAGCTATTTTATTTTTATATAGTTTACATTATCTGAAATTAATTCATGAACAATTTCTATTTTTGTCATTGTTTTTCAAGCAACAAAGTATATTTCTAGTCCGATTTACGAACACTTGGATGGAAAGGTCCTAAGCTTGATACTCCCTGACAGCATTTTTTACTATTGTTCAACTGGGGAGCAGGAGGGTTAATGAGCTAAAATGTACAGAAGGGAACGAGCACACGGAGGGAAAAGTGCGCATATAAACACCTCACCTGAGAATGTTTAGATACCCAGTGGCGCAACACATTGAGGACTCGCATGGTGGCGGCGGTGCATATGATGGACTCCTGACGAGGTCGTTCCCTGAAAGAGGAGCGGCGCCCCTCCCCACCCACGGAGAAGCGGCCCAGGGGAGGCGTCTTAGGGATATCCCTGGGGTTGCTCGAGCCTGCCGTGGCCACAGCAAAGGCAGCTGCTGCAGATGCACTACTGCTCCTGTCAGTAGAAGAATAATTGCCTCAGATTGAAGTAAGATAAAGTAGGATGAGACGAGAGAGAATGAGATCTTCAACCTATAACTTCAAAGGTCACTACTAAAGCACTACTTCACGTTGAGGATGGGAATGAAGTGTGGGAAGGAACTAGTGCGGAGCTACTCACCTGCGCTGAGACTGTCTGGAGGAGGTGATAACCACACCAACCCGCGGCACTGAGTGTGAGGGGGAGTCTGGTACCTGCAATGGAGTGTGCACATCAATGTGCTATACTGTAATGATGATCCTTATTATATATTTTTCGTCAAAGGTCAAATGTATAACGTCAATACAGAGATGTGTCTGTACACTGATATGAGCACAATTGAAGGACTTTCTTTACAGATATTAAATGTCTAAACAAACAAAATGGTTCACGAGTAGAACTTACGGTTAACTTCCTACTTAATTTTAGTCAATGAGTATCTGAAAAGTTCTGCATTCATTCATTCTTTAATTTGTTAACTGAAAAATTTTACCCAGTGACAATATCATAATGTAGACAGAATGTTTCTCAGATAATAAGTTACTGTAGAGGACTAAAGTACCCAATCATGCAGTTTATAATTTGCGAAAGAAATCATGATATTTGAGGGTGAAAAGGTTGTACCTGGAAGGATGACCTCGGGGTAGCGGTATGGACGCTAGAGCGGGGAGAAGCCAGACCCCCTAGACCCAGAGCAGTGAGGGCCGCGTCACTCTCACAGCTGGGTCTTTTGCCACCCTTGGTACGATGGCCCACCAAGAGGAACCCAGAAGTGGTGGCAGCGCTGTGAGATCTGTTAGTAGAGCGGGGCCTTACTCCCGTACCCAAGATGTCTTGCTCGTCCTCAGCCTCTGAACCCGAAGTAGCTGCCTCGAACTTACTCCATCCCTGTAAAATGAGTTACAATTAATTATCATTTAGGAGATGAGACATGTGGCGTTCGTAACAGTTAAGTGACGCCGTGCTGTGAAAGGAGATATTCTATAATCATCACATAGCGAAGCACTTTTTTTAATATTATTTAATTTTAATATTCTAATATTCTCTTTAAATACAAAAAATGCCACAAGCTATTATAACAAATTCTGGTCAGCCTTGTGAGCTCAATATATCAATTACTCCGGACACTGAATACCATACTTGCTTCATGCATTAAGATTTAAATTTTAAATGGAATGGACGAATCACTGGTGAGGAGGGTCTGCTCCAGCCCTTCACGACACTTTTACTGCTATACTACTACGTTATTAAGACGAATGTGAAGCAGACTGTTAAATATATGAATAATTATGTGTTGTAAGGTACGTCTGATTGAAGAGTCAGTCGTAAGCTAAAGTGGTAAGCTTAGACTGTTGTTAGGTAAAATATAGTTGATCTTTCTCATTTAGTGATGCTGATTATAATACACACGATCAATGATATCAATATGGATCACCTGAAGCTTAGACACCTCAGATTATTTCACCTGAAAATTAACCACTTTAGTGCTACCTGGGGGTTGGGTTAGGTTAAGGTAGGTTTGGTTACGTTAAATTAGGTTAGGTTAGGGTAGGTTTGGTTATGTTAAATTAGGTTAAGTTAGCGTTAGGACTTAGGATGGT